CATGGATGCTGTCCCATCGCTGCACACATCGGTGGTGTTGGGCGTCGTGAGGTCAGGACTCATATATTCCTCCATTCCTACGGAATTATTCGTGCCGCCGTAATCCGAGCAGCTCCTCGCCGCAAAATCGCAGAATATCGCATTGAAAGCCTCCTCTTCCGTTACATATTGACCATCCGGCTTCTTACCAGTACGACACGCAGTCCAGTTGCTCTCGCCGAATAGACGCCAGTGCACACCGGAATCCTTGCTCCCACACGCACCATACAACCATCGCCATCTCTATTCGCGTACACGTGCGAGCAGCAGCAGCAGTAGAGTTGCTGAGTTCGGCGAGCAGATCTGCACACCAAGTGGAGAATAGAAGGGCAGAAGAGAAATAAAAAGAGGTGCAGCAAAAAGACACACACACACATCGTCGCAGCGTCGCCGTTGCGTGCGCGGTAATGATGCGACCTCCCGCGGCAGGCACAACTCGCACACCGCGCGCACCGCAAAACGGCATCCACACAAGAAACACGCACACACAACGACAGAACAGCCACCACAAACTAGAAGGAGGAGAGAACCACAACCATCTCCCCACACTTGCACAACAAACGGCTCTCCCTTTCTATGCGAGACAGTTGCCGCAAGCCTGCCATCGTTCCGCTGCACGCTCTCAGCGCCCACAGTGGGAGTCAGCACAGCGCACAAGTGAGAAACAAAACGCATCTCACTCCCGTCGGGAGAAATAAAAACACCGCAACGGCAACAACAACGGTGCGAGAGTGTCGCATCGGATGGTACGATGGCGTTGTTGGCGTCCAGACCAATGACGCGTACCCTCTAAAATACGCGTGGAAGATACCGCACGTACGACTGCAGAGTTGCGTCCGCAGACAAACGGCATTCGGCGCCAAGTCTGCCTCTCGGTGGCAAAGACGGGTCAGGAATGTCGTCGGAGAGGCACCACGGCAGACGGCAGGGTAGAGCAAGGTACCGCACAAGGGACACAAATATTCGCCTGCCTCGTCCCTGGAGAAGCACAACCAACTTGGCCGGGGTTATCTCGCCCTCTGGCGATGGCACATTTTTAAAAACTCTCGCGGTATTGGGGAGACTCGGCAATGCCCCAACGTGCTTGCCGCGATTCCACGAGAATGTGGACGGTCTGCATTTGTCCATGCACGTCACAGCCGATAGGCGCATCATCGGGGATACGGTTTGAGTGCGCCCAACGACGGTTACTTGCCTCATGCCACATCACAGGCAGGCTGGCCGTCCCTCATCATTCCCTGCAGGATTCGCCTACGCTCCTCCAAGGAGTACTGGGGGCATCCGTTGTGCTGCACGCGGATCGCATCATCTTCCATAACAACTCCATTCACCAAAAGACCGCGGTTAAACAGCCCGTCCACAACAATCCTCAAGGGACCGCCACCCACCGCGTGCTGAGGTGGAAAATGCACGTGACGAATACGTCTCCGGTAGGTTTCATCGCAAATACACAACCGCTATTCCCTCCGTCACTGTGTTGTCATCACCGCAGCAGCAACGCACCAGTGCAGGCCATGTTGGGTATGATGGGAGAGAAAGTCCCATTCTCCGAGCCATGATGTCATCAAGAGAGTCAGACGGCTGCTCTGCCACGGTGATAGCATGCCCCATCAGGCGCAACATAATATCAGAGTCCAGCAGATTGGAAGGCGCGGTTGTCACCCCGCCAATGAGAGAAATGCGCGCCACCACACGAGGCTCCGCTGGCACTCCCGCCTCCATATTGTGTTCCCTCAGTAACGGACTCTGCGTCAGCACCGTCGCCACGCTGGTAGGTCTGGATGTGTCTACAGCACGGCACGCGTTGCTGCCACCGCCCGCTCCTCCCCTGTTTGCTCACCACCCATCGTCATGCGGCAGCAGCGAGTGAGGCAAACCTCGATTGGTTCCGCCTGCAAGTCCCTCGGCATCTGCTCAATCCACCGCCATGGAAAAACGGCGATGCGCAGCGGCGGAGCATTTGATCGTATCAGCAAACAAATTGGAGAAAAAGGGCTCAACCACACACAAAGGACTCCCAGCAGGAAAAGGTACAAACGGCGTGGATAACACGACTCAAAATAACGCTTCCAACACAAAACGTGGATGACTCTGTCGACGCCGCACCCGCACCGCATGCCACCAACTCCTCCACGGCAAAAACAAACTGGCAAGAGGGAAAAGAAATAAAAACGCTTCGAGAAAGCAAAAAACACCACTGCAGCACAGCATCCCTCACAACGTCGTCAATCGGCCTGAGGCATGTCGTCTCGAATCCACCTGGCGTACACCGTTCTCCCGGCACGTTTGTTGAAAGGCGGTCATCCACCAGCCGCAATCCGTCGGTCACACGAGGAGTGCAGGCAACAGGCATGTCTGTCGCACCCTCCATCACCCTCACAAAGCGTCGAATTGTCGTTGGCAGGAGTAATGTTGTTTCTGCTCCACGCGTCTCCATCCCCTGGGAGAAGAGACACGCCGACTGCTGCCACCAGTTCCTCCCCCGTCGCCTCTCTCCTCCTCCACAAGTCTATAATACTCCGCAGAGTTGCTCATGGCAGTGTCTCCACCATCCCGCACGTGAAACAAATTAAACTTCTTCTCCCTGAGACCCAAAGCGACCAACGCAAAAGCGAGCCGAGCATCCAACGGCTGCACTGGCCCAACCCCAAAAAACTGCACCAAGTACACAATGACGGGATCGCGACGGCAACACCGCAGAAAAATAGGGTCCACTGCGGAGACTAGTTTGTGCTGCACACAGTTGCGGTGTCGCCGGACTTATCGCATCGCCAAAAACAAAAACAATAATCCTGCAGCGTGCGGGGAGGACGTTTCACAAGCGCATCATCGACGGAGCCAAACAACTGTACCGTCAGCAGAGGGCAGCGGGTGGCGGGGGAAGCGAAGGTGGTGGAACTGTTGGGGAGGGTCGATGCGCAGTGTCCCCCACAAATACGAGGCGGATGAGGCGAAACACACTCGCCTGAACGTCACCGGCCACCAAAGTGCATGGCTCCCTGCCGGGAATATTGATGAGCTCGAGCCTGGAGCAGCTACTCGCAGTGCGTGAAAGCATCTTCCTGCACTGACGCTGCGATTCACATTAGACGGGCAACTTCAGCACAGTCGATCCCCAGCAGTAAAATGCAGCTGGCAGTGACGCTGCGGATTATCGATTTTCCCCGGGCAACGGAGGGCGGAGAAGAAAACTGGTCTCCCCAGCTGCGCGGCATCCATCCATCCACTCTGTGCGCTCGGAGTGCCCCGCAGCTGCCATGAGAGATGCAGCGGACAGGCCTCCGTTAGTTTCGCCTCGATCCGTCGACGAATACTTTCGCGGTGCTGTCGGCACACACCGAAGTCTCCCTCGTGCCCGCCAAACAAAAGACACACCCGTTGAGCATCGTCACGTGCGTCAACGGCCACGCAAGTAAATATCCACCGCAACGCAAAGTGCTTCTTATTGGGCACCAAAAGAAACCTGGAGGCGGCGGCCTCGACAACACACAACAAATCACACGCCAGGCAACGCTCAGATACATGCGAATGGGCCAACGCGGGATGAGCAGCACAAACACTCGAGAGCTGCTGCGTGAAATCCACGGCAAATGGATCAGCCTCAACGCATGGGCAATAATTACGGCGGGTGACAGCGCAAAAGCCAACAGTTCCGCAAGGCCGGGAATTGTGGGGACGGCATTCAAACCTCCTGGGATTCGTGTGCCAAGACACGCAAATAATCCGCCTCTCGGTGCAAATCGCCATCGTCCTCATCGTTGTTTTGCCGTCATTCGTATTGCCACACTCAAAGCGGTGAGGGAAGGTGCTGCCATGATGATTGCGACATCACCCTGAATGGAAGAACGCAATGCCTCGAAGGGTGTCGAGTGCAGGCATCCCGTCAGGCAGCGACACGCCGCACTTCTGAAGAAAGCCGATGAAAGACCGTAGAAAAAGCTTTCATCCGCCATCGTAATATCGTCCAGCGGGTTCGGCCTCTTATTTCTCCTTCCCTCGGCGCCTCGTCCCTCTCCAAGACACCAGCTGCCACTGCCGTAGATCACGCTCCTGCCGCAATCACTCTCACAGAGAGGGAGGAGTGTGTGGATGTGTGCCGACAACACAGCGACCGTCATCGCCAGAGGAGGCCATCGTGGCACCGTCCGTCACGCGCCAGCACACAAAAAGCAGGCAACGCCATCAACCGGAAGTGCAAAAACAGAAGGCAGACCACTGTGCAAATACTTATTTGTCCTTGTGCTGGAGGAGCTGAAAAGAGGAGGAGCACAGGGAGGCACATCAACAAAGCAAGAGGCACAGCTGGATGGAGGCGATACATGCGGCACGGCCCCGACCTCAACAATCACGCACAGTGGCAGCACAAAAATCCACAAAGAAAAACAAAAAAAGAAAAACACGGCGGCAGGATGTGGCTGTGTGTGTGGCGCTGCGGGTGTCTGCCCGCCCTGGCCGCAAAGAAAACAAAACAAGAGGGAAGAAATGTGTGCTCCGCCCCACAGGCCCTCGTCGCACGCCCACACGTCACGGCTCCCTCAGCGCGCCGTTCGTCGCGGCCCCTCCTCATGCGTGCAGCAGGCGAGGCGCACAGGGCCGTCGTCATGAGCGTGTCGGTGGGTGTGCGAGTGGAGCAGTTGGGCGGGAACACACGGCACCCCTCGCAGGAAGAGTGCAGCAACAAACAATTAAAAGAGTAGAAAAGAAAAAACGTCCATAGTGATTGCCCCAAAAGCAAAAAAAAAAAGATATGGGGAATGAAAAATAAAAAAAACAGACGAAAATTAATAACGGAAAAAAAAAGTTTTTAAGGACACACACTCGCACACGCGCAACACGCAAAAAAATTATGAATTACAAACAGAAAGCAAGAAAAGAAAATTATCTTAAGGAAAAAGTTAGTTCTTGGAATTAATTCCGTGCAGGGGAGGTCGCAAGTGCTCCACGCGGCAGCCAGTCACGCCTCACAGAGCCGTCAACCCCCACAGTCCCAACAGAAGCAGAAGCAGCGATGGCAGCAGTCCGCTCCCACGCATGGTGCCGGCATCGGTGTTATTCCCCTGCGACACATTTCCAAGGTTGCTGCTGAGGGCCGTGGCATTTACGTCCCCGTTCTGTGCGTGGATCTCCTCCTCCTTCTGCCCATCCGTTCCTCCTTCTCTTGTCTCCACCGGTGCGTCACTGCCAGGCGAGGAACCGCCACCCACATTTTTACTTCCATCGGAAGATTCTTCCGAAACCAACTGGGTTGCGGACACCTCTTCTCCTGAGGAAGTCTTGGCACTGGGCACTGTTGGTGCGGATACACCGTTCACACCACTGCTCTCCAACGACTCTCTCTGTTCCTCCATTTCTTGACCACCACCAGAAGGCCGAATCGCGTCTCCTTCAACAGACCCGTCCACCAGAGATGGAGCGGGGTCTTTATTCGGGTTGAAAGCGGCGATCTCCGCTTCATCCCACGGGCGGTTGTACAGCAGGACGTTCGTCACAGTCGCAGACACGTCTTCTTTGTTGGCTGCGTTTTCTCCATCCCCTCCAATGTAGAAGTGGGAGATCTCTTTCGACGCACCATTTCCCAATGCACATTCTCCATTCCCCACACGCTGACCATCGACATACACGGAGCCCTGGGTGCCGTTCTTTAGCACAATGGCCACCTGGTACTGTGTCTCTGTCTCCCACGTGCTGCTGGGCTCCTTAGGGGTTTTGTCACAGCACAGTACATGCCACTTCCTTTCGCTGTCGTACGACAGTCCCAGCAGTACAGAATTCCCATCGCCATTCATCTTCGCACCTATCAAAGGAATGGGGGTGTTTCCCTCCGGCATTTTGTCGATGGACGCCGTCGCCACAAGAGTGAAGTTGTAGTTCGCAAAGTGGTACAGCTGATTCTGCCCCTGCTTGCCAACAGGCCACTCCGCCCACGCACCACGTCCCTTAAATGTCACACCCCTATCCGTGCTGGTCAATGTTGACGCTGCTGCCCCTTTATTATTTACTGTGGCGTTCACGCCGAGGTACTCGTCCCTCCATGTGTCACCGGAGAGGTTGCCGGACAAAAAGCCAACCAGCCCAGCCGTGATCTTTACAGCGCCGCAGACATCGTCAGTTGAGGCACGATCCTTCTGAGCAATTAATGAGGTGCACAGCTGGGAGACACGTCCGTCCACCTCCTTCCAGGTCGTCAGCACCTCCTTCACACGCTTCAGCTGCTCAGTCAGAAGCACAGAGACCATACCGGGTGGTGGTTTCACATCCTTCTTCTTCTCGTACAGTGCAATCAACTCCTCCTTCCTCTCATCAGTGTTCCCGCCACTGTTGTACAACAGGGAGCTGGCGGCAGCGTCATCTTCTCCGGATACCGGCCCAATATCAACAATGTGCGTATTGTCCGTCAGCCAAAGATGGAGTTTGCCCTTTTCTTTGCCTTCCTCGGCATGCACCGGCAGAGTGACGAGCATCACTTTTTTATTACCAACACCGTCAATCGTCGCTGTGATGAACCCGCTTCTAACGGCCGTCGCTTGTCCGTCCTTTTTGTTGCCCCACACACGCGAGAGTGTCCCGAGGGCCTCCGTCCACGACTCCCCCATGTCACCGGACTCGTACACCCTGCGAGGGCCATCACCACACGCGGTCATCATCATGAGTTTTCCCTCCTCCCACTCCACGACGGAGGGATCACTGCAGCCACCGTCAGACATCCCCTTCGACAGCGTCCAATTCTTATTATCCGTGGAGGAGTATATGATCAGTGAGACAGTCTTCACACCCTCTTCAGTGCCCCCCACCGCCTTCTTCTTCGTGCCTTCCACTGGGAACACAAGAGTCTCATCCTTCATCTCAACACCCGATCCACCGCTTCCAATCAGCCTTGTCCAGGAATCGAGCTGTGTGGCAAAAAGTCCTTGCGGGGAACTTTCTATAACTTCCCAGTCAATTTTCTTGTTACTTGTACCCCCACCACTGACGCTCCCTTTCACCAGCAAAAGTCCCAATTGAGCCGCATCATCCTGTCCAGGAACGGCAACTTTACTGCCGTACTGTCCAAAAAGCATGTAAATATCATTCCCCTTCACAGCAGTTGTTGGTCGGCTCACATCCACTTTCTTCCTTTGGTCTTTAGAAGCACCTTCCTCCAGTACTTGTGTCTTCTTTAAGGCATCAATAAACAATTCCACCGGTGTCTCAGCAGTTTGTGTCGTGAGAAGTTGAGATGCAACGCCAGTAAAACCGACACCACCGTTCTTGCACTGCGCCTCGGCAACGGCAAATACGTCATTCCCCACTTTTAGAAGGCTGGGAGCACCCAACGAGTCCACAGTTACATCATCACTCTCATTGATGCCCCTCCATTCAAACTGAGGACCAGATGGCTGCCCCGCAACTCCCGCAGCCTCTCCACTGCCGCAGCACACCATCACGACGAGGAGGAGCACCGCAGAGTAGAGGAGATGCCGGGACATGTTGGGCCTCTGCGGCTCACTCTCTCCTCCTTCCCTCCTCCTCCCGCTGGATCCGGTCACGCGGCGACGGTTGTGTGTGCGGGGTGCCTTCACTGCAGCAACACGTGAGTGCATACAAATATGTGTGTGTGTGGGCGGTGTGTGCTGTTGGTCCTTTCAGTGCCTTACAATTTCACAGTGGCGATTAGCGCTTGTTATTAACTTCTTTCCTTTGTGTGTGGGTAAGAGAGAAGTTAAGAAAAAGGAGTGAAACAGTGAACACCGCCAGCGTCCACAGTGAGTGGCATCATCATCGTCATCCCTGCCGCAGTCACCCTCAACAACAACTCACGCACGCAGACAAATGAAACGGGAAGGATGAACAATGCAGCGGGAACACACAGCGACGGTCACCACCAGCAGCAGCAGGAGCCACGCCCGGCACGTCGTTATTCGTCACGCGTCAGCACACACTGAGCAACGCCCTCACAAAAAGAAAAACCAGCAGGATAAAAAAACACAGCCGCCCTTCACGGCACACACGCGCTGCCGCCAGTCGTTTTACTCTTGTCTCTTCCAACGCACCCGCACATCGCCCCGCACAGCCGGTGAATCCTCCGTCGGCGTACGAACAGCGGGAGGAACACGTCAAACCGTGCAGCTGCTGGGCTGAAGCCCATCCGCAATAATCCCAGACACCAAAACGCCACGCCGCCCATGGGCAGCAAGCCTAGGAAATCACGCTCGCAGCACGGCAACATAACAAATCGCGGTCACCCGTCATCCCTCCTCGCAAGGGCAGCCGCAGCAAGAATCGTGTACGTGCGTGCGTCCTCAGCGTTCACGCCGCCCCACAGCGTGCGCAACATGGCGTGTGCATCTGCTAGTGCGCTTGTCAGCGTGTACACTTGCAGAGCAGCTGTGCGGCACAAGAGAGTCCCAACAAAGCAAAGATAGGGAGAAGCGGATAGCACACACGCAGATTACTCTTACCATCACAAACACACACACACGCAGCCGGCGGAATGGGTGCACTCAACCACAACACAACCAAAAATAAAACAAAAAGAAGCGTGGGACGACCAGCGCACACACTCTCACTGCTCCCGTAAAGCAAAACACACACACAGAGGGAGAGAGAGAGAGGTCGCCCACTCAATGCAATGGAAACAAAACAGAAACAGTTACGGTGCTCCGCCCATGCAGCCAGGCAGGACGGCAGCGGTGCGTGTCGTGCAAAAGAGAGCACCAACGGGCCTGCATGGGTGTGCATGCATATATACAATGGGCACATTATGTGTGTGCCTCGTGGGGTGAGGTGAGGGCGAGAGTCCATGCAAGGGGACACACACACAGAGAGAGAAGGAAGAGTGTGTGTGCGGGCGGTGCACGGCTCTCTCTCCCTCACTCTCACGCGGCCACCGCAGCAGCAGCAGCCGCACACGCAACAAGAAGAAGCAAAAGAGGGGAGGTGGTGTGGGACACCGCGGTGATGCCGTCGCTGTCAGCTGGTATCTATGTATTGATTGTTTTATTGGTGGCCGTCTCTGGTACTGTTGTGTATCTCTCATCATTATCTGCCTCAGTGTTCCTGTCTCCCGAGGCGCCTTCAAATTCGGCGGTCTTACCGTTGTGTGCCACGTCATCATTGACGTCGTCGTTATTGGCCCGTTCAAGGTCACTCGCATCACCAGAGGTTTGAGTGCTTCTTGTGCCAGCGGTAGTCCTTTCAGCAGTAGGAGCTGCACGGCTGCTGTCGTTGTCGTCATCATACGTCGTGGCAATTATACCTGCGTTGGGTATTTCCTCCGATTGCAATTCACTTTTGCTGGCTGGCAGGGCAGCGGGGCCAGTATCTCCCTCGGAATCATGTTGTGTCACTGAGGCGGCAGGAGGTGTGGGATTGTTAGCACCACTGTTCTCCACCGTGCTTGCGGCAACGCCACTGCTGCCTGTGGAGGTAGATAATGGTGTTGTACTCTCTCGAATCAAATGCGATACGCTCTCCGGTGACTGCAAGGAGGATGCTCCTTCCTCGTGCTTTGTTGAGCCTTTCGTTTGTGGCATCTTCGTTTCGTGTGAGTGACCTCCGTCTTGTGGCTTTGAGTGTTTTTCCGCTGTAATTGGTGGATGTGTTTCTTCTGACTGTAATGTGTTTGTTCCTGGTGGTGGTTGTCGTGGTATTTGTGGTAGTGATTCTGCTGGAGGTGGTGGTGGTGGCGGTTGGGGACTTTTCGTGCCTTCCTCATCTTCCGGTTGGCCGCCTGCTGGCACTTGACTCCCAGTTTGTTTGGGACGATCGGCATCTGAACTGACATTCTGTTCGCCTGTTATTTGTGAATCCTCGTTTCCTGCCAACTTATTCGTCACTTCCAGTGAACCTGTATGTTCCTGTCCTTCTTCTCCAACTTGTCCCGCCTGTGGCATCTGGTCTGAAGAAGATAATCCCTTCAATGTGCCATCGCTGCTCTCGCCACTTTTGTCATCAGAATCAACAGCAGCGACAACAGCGGAGTGTTGACGCCTCCAACGGCTACGGCCATCCACAACGGCACGCACACCGTCCATCCCCCGACGCACGCATTCCTCCACGGCAGAAATATTCGCACCGCCTCCTGTCCTCCTGCCGAACGCCTCCGCGCACTCCCTCCGCAGCTGAGCGCGCCGTCCCGCAAAACAAAATACTCATCCGCACCGCCATCACCTCCGCCAGCAACATCGGCCGCCACCACACTAACACCGCACCACAGCACGCAGAGGGCACACACCAGCAGCACACGGCCAGTCATCATCATCGCCATCACTCCTGTCACTTGCCTGCAGCCTTCAGCACAAACCAACTCCCCGTCAACGCAGAGCGAAAGCAAAGAAGAGACAAGTCACACAATAACGCGCAAAGTAAACAACGGCAGCAGCCCTGCGGCAGCACGCACACCGACCTGCAAATCAGAAGCAAAAAGGCAATACCAAAACAATAAAAAAAGGAGTTAAGTGTCCAACAGGAGTCCCTCCGCCCAGAAAAAAATACACCTCAGCAACATTTTCACTTCATACGCCATGCGGCACAGCATGTCTGTGTTCATACATACATGCGTACAATGCCCTCACAAGAAAAAAAATCGTACTGTTCCACCAGCCCACACAACAACCCTCACATTTCATGCGGCATCCGGCCTGTCTCTCCACTCCTCCTTTCGTGCAGTCCGTGAAACGCACAGCCGCAGGGCCGGCACCGAGTGCAGGCAACAGAAGCAAGCAGGAGGGAAACACTTCCCTCATGACGGTGTGCAGCAGCCGACCATTAAGTAAAGAAAGAAAAGAGCGCGTATTATTCCAGTTAGGCAAAATCAAAAAAGTAAACACAAAACTTGTGGGGAACGCAGCTCATATTCTCCGTGAGAAGTCGAAAATCGACACTCCGTGGCTGAGAAGACTGCCACAACCCCACACAGTCCCAAAAGCGGAGGCAGCAGTGGTTTCTCCACCCACAAGAGGCGATAATTTCGCTGCCGTCCACCGTCGGCAAGGACAAGTCAGCTTCAAAAGAGATCCCTCTGCTCTCGCTGACTTTCTCGTTGTTTAAAGGAGATGTGCTCTGTGTGGCGCTGCTGCACGCACTGCTGTTTGTCGGCTCCTTGACGGCGGGGGCGGGTGCTCGAGGACCATGGATGCTGTCCCATCGCTGTACGCATCGGTGGTGTTGGGCGTCGTGAGGTCAGGACTCATATATTCCTCCATTCCTACGGAATTATTCGTGCCGCCGTAATCCGAGCAGCTCCTCGCCGCAAAATCGCAGAATATCGCATTGAAAGCCTCCTCTTCCGTTACATATTGACCATCCGGCTTCTTACCAGTACGACGCGCAGTCCAGTTGCTCTCGCCGAATAGGCGCCAGTGCACACCGGAATCCTCGCTCCCACACGCACCGTACAACCATCGCCATCTCTCTTCGCGTACACGTGCGAGCAGCAGCAGCAGTAGAGTTGCTGAGTTCGGTGAGCAGATCTGCACACCAAGTGGAGAATAGAAGGGCAAAGAGAAATAAAAAGAGGTGCAGCAAAAAGACACACACACACACATCGTCGCAGCGTCGCCGTTGCGTGCGCGGTAATGATGCGACCTCCCGCGGCAGGCACAACTCGCACACTGCACGCACCGCAAAACGACATCCACACAAGAAACACGCACACACAACGACAGAACAGCCACCATAAAATAGAAGGAGGAGAGAACCACAACCATCTCCCCCTAGTTGCACAACAAACAGCCCTCCCTTTCTATGCGAGGCAGTTGCCGCAAGCCTGCCATCGTTCCGCTGCACGCTCTCAGCGCCCACAGTGGGAGTCAGCGAAGCGTACAAGTGAGAAACAAAACGCATCTCACTCCAGTCGGGAGAAATAAAAACACCGCAACGGCAACAACAACGGTGCAAGAGTGTCGCATCGGATGGTACGATGGCGTTGTTGGCGTCCAGACCAATGACGCGTGCCCTCTAAAATACGCGTGGAAGATACCGCACGTACGACTGCAGGGTTGCGTCCGCAGACAAACGGCATTCGGAGCCAAGTCTGCCTCTCGGTGGCAAAGATGGGTCAGGAATGTCGTCGGAGAGGCACCACGGCAGACGGCAGGGTAGAGCAAGGTACCGCACAAGGGACACAAATATTCGCCTGCCTCGTCCCTGGAGAAGCACAACCAACTTGGCCGGGGTTATCTCGCCCTCTGGCGATGGCAAATTTTTAAAGAGTCTCACGGTATTGGGGAGACTCGGCAATGCCCCAACGTGCTTGCCGCGATTCCACGAGAATGTGGACGGTCTGCATTTGTCCATGCACGTCACAGCCGATAGGCGCATCATCGGGGATACGGTTTGAGTGCGCACAACGACGGTTACTTGCCTCATGCCACATCACGGGCAGGCCGTCCCTCATCATTCCCTGCAGGATTCGCCTACGCTCCTCCAAGGAGTACTGGGGGCATCCGTTGTGCTGCACGCGGATCGCATCATCTTCCATAACAACTCCATTCACTAAAAGACCGCGGTTAAACAGCCCGTCCATAACAATCCTCAAAGGACCGCCACCCACCGCGTGCTGAGGTGGAAAACGCACGCGATGAATACGTCTCCGGTAGGT